CTAAACCCTAAATTTAAAAGCCCCAAACCCTAGGCCCTGAACCCCTAACCTGCCTGCCTAAACCTTCAAGCACAGTCGACTTCTGCGGAGAGAAAGTCCCAAAGCACTTCAAAAAAACCCTATACCCTAAACCCTAAGCCCCAAACCCTAAAACCCTAAACCCTAAACCCTAAACCCTAAACCCTAAACCCTAAAACCCTAAACCGGCTATAGTTTGCCTAGTCCCCGTCAGGGCCAAGCCCTCAACCTGAGCTCCTCAACCCTCAACGCTCTAACAATGTCAGGTTTGGGGTTTAGAGACCCCTAGACCCTAAAGCCAGCTTAAGCCCTGAACCCTAAACCCTAAACCCTAAAACCCTAAACCCTAAACCCTAAACCCTCAAGATGCATATGCGATAGAACTTCGATCTGCCCGACTACCCTTATTTTAAGGAGTATAGGCTAGGTCTGACGTTAGTACCCGCTTGCCTTTTCTATTTTTGGGTGCTGTTTAGTGGTTTAGGGGTTTAGGGTTTAGGGTTTAGAGTTTAGGGTTTAGGGTTTAGGGTTTAGGGTTTAGGGTTTAGGGTTTAGGCAGGAAATGAGACACAAGACCCTAAACCCTAAGCCCCAAACCCTAAACCCTGATAACGTGCTCAGGGAAACCTGATAAGCGGTCTCTTGAAACATGGAGTGCTTCATAAGGAATCGGCAGTAGAAACGTGTCGGGCTCCTTATCGGGTTTAGGGTTTAGGGTTCAGGGCTGTTGAAAACACCATGGGTCTTCTTGTTACAATAGAAGCGATAATCCCTCTAATTTTGTGTGTGTGTGTCCTCCCCCTAAACCCTGAACCATAAACCCTCTTCTGTCTGCGATGCTCCCTTCATAAGGTCTGTAGGGATCCCCATATTTTGGCCTTTGCAGAGGACGGGGTTCATGAATCAGGGGTCTACATCACCCCAAACCCTAAACCCGAAACCCTAAACCCTAAACCCCTAAACCCCTAAACCCCTAGACCCTAAACCCTAAGCCCTTAAACCCGAAACAACTAAACCTCAAGCCCGAAACCCCTAAACCCTAAACCCTGAACCCTAAACCCTAAACCCTAAACCCCAAACCCCAAACCCCAAACCCCAAACCCTACCTAAACCAAGTATTACAAGCCGGGTGCAGTCGCTCTTTGAGTTCGGCTCGAGGACCCTCCGACGCTGGTGCTGTCCGTTGTTTCGGGAGCGTTGCATGGGCTGCAATTCAGCTTCTATCGGGTTTAGGGTTTAGGGTTTAGGGTTTAGGGTTTAGGGTTTAGGGTTGAGCGTGTACGATTTTGCGGGTTTAGGGGTTTCCTTTCTTTTTGCAAGCTTAGGGCTTCGCGCGGCCCAATGCCCCTGGGTTAGATGTCTTGTCGCAGACTTTTCGTAGAGGGGTGGGTGTAGAGTTTATGTGGCGAATTTCTGCCTCTTGCATTGTTGACGTGTCGGTCGGGTCTGCTGAGGTTGCCACTTTTTCTGCGTTTTGTCTTGCTGCTTCGTGGTAAGCTGCACCGAGGACTCTATAACGGTCTGAAAGCGCACGTGACATTTGTAGGTGCTGAACGACGAGACCTAAACCCTAAGCCCCTAAACCCTAAACCCTAAAGCCCAAGCCCCCAAAACCCTAAACGCCTAAACCCTAAACCCTAAACAAGAAGACCCCTAAACCCTAAACCCTAAACCCTAAACCCTAAACTTCTAAACCCTAAACCCTAAACCCTAAACCCTAAACCCTTAACCCCTAAACCCTTAACCCCTAAACCCTAAACAAGAAGAGCCGGGCAGGCTTGCTCGCACAAACGGTCTGGACTTCAAGAGGTCCAAAACCCCGTGGGCAATCCTCAGACGAGGAGGTCCAAGTCCGAACGACCTTCAGTTTAGGGCTTAGGGCTTAGGGTTTAGGGTTTAGGGTTTAGGGTTTAGGGTTTAGGATGCACTTCTCGGCTGAGCTCCGATTTGGCGGTTTAGCTGAGAAGCGTGTGAGCTTAGCTTGGCGCTGGGCAGAGGAAGGGTTTTCTTGAATGTGCTTTGCAGTGCCTGGGCAAGCAGGAGCTCGGGGACACTGTTTGGGTATGCCTACCACCGCAAACGCTGTGGAAACCTTCCGCATGCCAAGAACCTTCGAAAAACAACGGCCTTGGCGGCCGTTCGTAGTGGCAAAGCTGCTGGCAAGCAGTGCTATGCAGATCTCTGGGTGCCTACAGTCAAGAAGCGGTTCCTGAGCCTGGGTCTGAGACTTTTGGGTGTGTTTTCAAATATGGAGGCCTGAAGAATTACCTGTACTGTTTTGGGGTTCCTTATCATGACTATAGTATACTTGGCCCCAAAACCCTATTCTAATTGTTAAGGCCCCTATATTACACCCTGGGGTTTCGGGTTTCCCATCCCCACACCGAGACCTTTGGGATGCAGGGTTGCACCCTAAATCCTTCTCCGAAAATCCGTGGGCTGTTCTGGCTGGCATGCGGAGCCTGATCTGCTCAAATCCGGTTGTCCAACTCAGCACAGAAGCGGTAACCCTAAACCCTAAACCCCTAAAGCCCTACACCCTAACCTCAGACCCTAAACCCGAAAACCCTAAACCCTAAACCTTAGA